GAGCGGGGGTGAGGACGTCGTGCGTTTGTTCGGTAGTGCTGCTATCACTACAGCTAACAGGTGACCGCGACTAAATTACTGGTTACTTGGTTGCCACCGGCAATCGGACAGTTGTAACCGGAATACCGGATATCCGAGTGGATGATTTGGGACGCTGATATAAAATCAATCGCTGATATCGCCAATGGATTTCGTGAATCGTGATTACCCGTTAACAATAATAACAAATTACAAAATGACAACAAGCGTCAAGCACTTCAAGCAGACCGACTGACCGTCTAGACCGAGTGTCGACCGTCGACTCAACTACTCAAGTGAGTGACTATAGTGACTGACAAAGTGACAAGTGAAAAAAGTGGCTCTGGTAAATTAATTGCAATAATATTTTATTGCCGAATTATACTAGACAGCAAACTGTATAATTGTATGCGGTCTTTCGTTTACGGCCTTTGCGACCTTTTGTAGCAGTATTATCCGCGTGTCGTTCAGGTACGTAGCGTTCAGATCGTATCACCACGTCCTACTGCAACTTCAAGTTACAATAAACAACARTTTTCAAGTAAGTGTAATTGGAATCCATGTTTCTTTTCTATTCAGTATCCACACACCCTCCCAACCTGAGAATCCCGTTTATACTCTGGTTATGCTACATTATTTTTAGTACTGTACTTATTTCTGCAGAAGACCACAGATAATCTAGAGCAGTGTTTCCCWACCTTTGTACCGTGAAGCCTTAATAGATTTACCGCGARATATCCCTATTATTAATACACTTACTTTTAAATTCGTTAATAAGTTAAATTATTGTTATCGATACTCTTATTCTGATATGAGGGTGTGCTTGTCAACTATTCGACTACGTTGAAAATTTATAGTGTCGGGAAACCTGCAGTCCCAAATTCCTCACTAAGACTAAATTTGTTTATTTAACATAAACATGAAATAATCGTAATGTAACGTCTCTGTTTTTCCATATCAAACTATTTCATAAGTTTCAATAAATTAAAATTTGATTATACATGAGTTTTTATATCTTAAATAAACATACTATTTAAAAAYTTTTGTTAGTAATTTATCATGTAACTTTTTGTATTGATATTATAAAAAGCCTCGTAATGCACTAATATTAAAAAATATATATATATATTTATTAAACATATATAAGTCAGTGCCAAGCCCGCTATGACTAAATATGGGTTAGGACTAGTGTGCTAAAAAGGTTGGGAAACACTGATCTAGAGTTTACTGTACATCTAAAACAAATAATATACCARTTTAAATTTCTAAAGTATAACATTTTGAAAAAACTGTTTTTACAACTCATTTTAATTACTTTTATATTATAAATATGTTAAAAAATTAACTTGAGAATTTTTATTTTATGCATAATATTTAGTAATGGCAAATAACCAAGAAGCAATGCAAGTATGTTCTTTGCCTTTACCACCTGTGCAATACTTCCAAAATTATTCAGATGAAAACATTAGGCGAGGTCGTGCTTCTAAGCCRCCACCAATAATTCAAGAAACTTACACAATGTTTGGAAACCCATATAATGCTGAAGATAGTATAATTAGACCTTTAGAAAGTCAGGTGTGTTGTGCTAATAAAATCATAATTTATAATCATTCTTTGTTATTATAATTTATAATCTTCTATAAGTAATGTTCTGTTGCATTATTATGTTTTGACTGATTGAAATTGAACAATTTCAATAGAAACTATATACCTAGATGTATAATAAATTTACAAATTTTATACATTTGAGCCTAATCTAAAACACGTGATTTTAGGGCTTTAAACGTCTTTATCCTCAACATTTTGATAGACGACGTGAATTACGTAAACTTAACCATTCATTATTGGTTAACTTTCTCGACTTACTGGATCTGCTAATTCAATGCCCTGACTCTCCTAGACGAGCTGAAAAAGTTGATGACATAAGTCTACTGTTTATTCACATACACCATTTATTAAATGAGTTCCGTCCACACCAAGCACGAGAAACTGTTCGTGTCATGTTAGACTTGCAGAGGAGGCAAAGAAATGAAACCACTATACGATTGCAAAAACACATAGATAAAGTACAATTTTACATTCCTGATGTTTTAAATATTGATAATAACTGTAGATTTGATATTTCTTAGGTWAGTGATATTCTACAACAAACATTAGAAAACTTGCCCGACACAGAGCTTGATTCTAAGCTCATGGTGGACACATCCAAAATTGATCGTTTGGAACAGAAAAATGCTGATGAACCAAGAGCTGACAAATGTGTACCTAAAGATAAACTTATGTGTCATCTTATTGATACAATGAATACCAATTAAAAATTAGACATTTTATTTATCTTCTGTTATTGTTTTATATATTTATACTTAAAATATTTTCAACTAACAATATATTTTTCATTCTTTTGCAATTGAATCATTTGTGTCCACATATTACATTACCTTTATGCATATTAAAATTTGAAACACTGTGAATAATTTATTATTTTACATTTTTTTATTAATAATAATTGGTTAATATCTAATAACAATACTGCTAAAATATCTTATCATATTTTTCAACTGTATAATTAATTTTTCCTAAATAATTATTTAATAATAAATTTATGTAGATTTTAGTATTACATGTATTTTTTTTTATAAATTAAAGCAAATACATGAGATGGAATTTTTTTGTAACTAATAACTAGTATTTTTTATTCGCAAAACATTAATATGTAGTTTTGTTTAGACGTTTTAAATGGTACTTATATAGTTATATAAGTACTCAGGATATTGCTTTTATTAATTTTATTTATTTCTATTGGGGAACCATATATTTAAGAAAATATGATAGTGCAATACAAAAGTTATCGAATGCCGTAAACAAAACAATATTTATCAAGAAACATCATACGTTTGTTTATTATGTTACAAAATGTAACATTTTATGAATTTAACTCAAACCAATTTGAAAAAATTAAACGTAAGCTCTTAAGTGATATATTATGAATAAAAACTAATTGACAGATAAGTCAATTGTGAACTAATAAAAATGTATAAAATTTTTTGTCAAATTTATTTTAATTTGTACAATCTGTATAATATATTTTTACAATAAGCACAATAGATGGAGAGATATATAAGAATGTGAAGGCTTGGTAGTTGGTTAACTTCATTAAAGAAACTATAAAATAATAGTTCTTCATGGCATTGGTAGAGGATGCATACTTAATGAATTATAACATTTTTTGAGTTTATAACAAATATACATCATCATTAAATGATGATAATATTTCATAAATGTGAAGACAATTAAATCAGAAAAATAAACTATACAACAAATCATGAACAATTAAAGAATAATGACTTAACAATACTTGTATGCAAATGGGMAATGTGAAAAATATAAATTATTTAAAGGGCAGTTTTTGTAATCAAACCTTAAAWATAATCTAAATTCTCAATTCTTATATCAAATAGTAAGATTGTTGTACTATTAATTATTAACCAGAGATTGGAACATTTAAAAAATGAATGCATTCAAAATTAAATTTTTTGATCAGTGGTAAAAAATGGTATATATTCAAAACAAAAACAATACTATGTATTTTTATATTAATTTTAATATACCTGTAAATTATTTATATACACTTTATTTGCATTTTGCACAAATTTTTAAAATAATTTCATATAATAATCCAAGATTTTTTTCCCATAGCTTACACACTATTGTAATAGTCAATCTTTATATAAATATAATATGAAATATAAAATATAACTTTATWAAAACATATTTTGTATACATCTGAAGCATATAATTATATTTTTTACATAAATACAATTGTGAAGGAGGTAGCCTTACTGATAGCAAAATAACAACTTAATACATAAAAAAACTTCTGAACAAAAGCGAAGCAACAGAAAAACAGTCAGCCTCACCTACATATAAGACATTAATTAATCATAATWAGACATCAAATATTACCACATATTACCGTTGCCTAAAAATATACACATTTTTACATGAAATTAATAATTATTAAATAAAAATATTACGACTTTTTAGATAAAAAACGTTGAACAAATTAGTCATTATATAATATTCATCTGTTAAATTTAATTGTGGTTATTTCAGCAAAGTTTAATATTGTACATAAKATTAAGCAATAAATCTGTTTGTAAATATTTAAAAAAGTTAAAATGCCGCTTCTGCAATATTAAAATACTCCCCCTCCTTAACCCAAGTCAAATATCTTGTTATTATTTAAGACAAAAGATTAACCCGAGTTCTTCATCTGAAATTCAAAAGAAAGACTTTAAGTTCTAGATATTATTTACTAAGATCTATATTAAAATCCTAAATTCCTCTTAATAACAAAATACTTATATATGAGTCATTAGACCGATTTAGTTATACGGAGCTTAAGTATGAAGATGTGCCAAATCATCACAACTTAAAATAATTGAAGCTTTCCAAACAATTTCTCTCCACAAAATCACGTCAGCTCCTTGGTATGTTTCAAATCTCCTAAACAAAGACCTAAATAACCAGAGTTTCTCAACCTATGGTACACTGTGGAAAACTCATGGTATTATTTGGTTTATTAATTATACCACATATTTGTATGTATACAATATTTCTATCTATAGAAAAAAAGTCGTTTGGTCAAGCAGTACATCGCAATTTTCAAATTGTTCAGCTAATATATGGATATAAAAAAATTAATTGCTATTATTTTAAGAGGACACTACACCTACATGTGTTGACACCGTCTTACAGGTGCGTTACCTACATGGCAAATGCTATGCTCAGCAGTTTCAATTTAGCTTCGTTAGTTTAAAATTTAGAGTGAATTACCTCCTATGAAAATTAAAGGTAACATTATTATCTAGGTTATCACAGAAGCTTTTTATTATATTTTAATTTTTAAGCGAGTTATGAATATTTTAAAGATTGTTAATTATTTGTATTTTTTAAAATACTCAACTTGCTTTAAAATTAAAATATAATAAAAAGCTTCTGTGATAACATAGATAATAATGATACCATTAACTTAAGAGGTCAGTTCACTCTAAATTTTAAACTAATGGAGATAAACGTAAAATTTCCTATATTACATACTTGTAAGACTGAAACAATACATGCAGGTGTGGCATCAGAGTAAAATAGACTCTTCAGAATATACAGAGACAAAACATGAGGATGTAGCATCCTATTAATTGTRGTTTATTGAATACTATACTAGTAGGATTAATTCACTGTAATATACCACAAACAACATTAATCCAACATATATAACTGTTATTACAATATACTGGCATCAATATTAAAGAAAAGATAAAATGTATATCATTAGGAGGTATAAAAGAATAAAATTGATAATGGTTTAAAATAATAATGATTGTGCTATCCCAGCTAAAGTAGAACATATAACATTGGTATACTGCATAATACATTCATATTTATAGTTAATTAGTATACAATGCACATTAAAATCCATAAATTATTTATATATGAGTATTGAGTATAATAAATATAATTCTGATTATGGTCATGACAGCTTGAAGATGATTCATTAAATATTAACATCAAGGATTACAGCAGTTGTAGATGGTAACAACCATAGAGGATCAATAAATAACTTAAGAAATAGTTACTATTTTATTATATACAAAAGTTGTCACACATTTTATATATAAAAAAGTAACAATGTAAAAATGAATACAACTTCTACCATTTATAAAAAATTATGAATATACTATATTATATTATTTTATAAATTTTTAGACAGTTTCAAATGTTTACTGTTTTTTTTCTTTATAATTTTTTTAAAAATATTTTATTTATTATGGTGAAAATATACTTTAAAATTAAAAAAAAAAAAAACAATTTTGTTATTTGTCCAAAACTGTATTTGAATTTTAAGATCTAATCTAGAACGTTAAAAGGTGGCTAAGCTTAGTTAATTTACAAAATAATTGGTCAGAAAAAATTGAATATGTACATAGTTCAATATTACTAAATCATAAAGCACTATTGCTTAAAAATAAATGAAAAATATAAAAATTTAACAATTAAATCAGTAATGTACTTATTATATGAAAAGTACTAAGAACACGTTATGAAAAAAAATTTAATGAATTGAAATGTAATTTGTATTAGTATGGTCTCCATGAACGACGATTTCCAGTGTTCGTATCAAACGATCTTTTAGTGTTCCAGCCAGTACTACTACCACCACGACGATTGTTATCTAAAATGAAAAATGTTTATTGGTCAATCACAGTTAATATAGTAAGTCACATGCAATGCAAGCGGTATAGTTACTATTTGTATTATTTGAGAATTTGGCACTAAATTTATCCTTTGGAGGCTGATATAGTTGTTGGCTATTATTGCTACCATCGATCCGTTTAGACTTTCCATCCAAGGTAATAGGTTCATGTTTTTTACCCTCCTGAATGATTTGAGCCTAACAATAAAAATTATATATTTTATGTTTTAATCACTTATATACTTATAAGTCAAACAAAGTATTACTTACAAGTTTGGACTTAGTCACACCATCAAGCCAAGATAGGTTGACAGTTGCTTTAAATCTAGGAGGTATACTGAATAAATCTTTTATTAATGTATTTATGTTACAAGCTAATTTCAATCCTTCTAATTTTTTTTCAACAATTGGGTCATTTTTTACATCTTCTTCCCCTTTTTCTTTTAAGTCTTGCTTGACAACTTTCACAAATGTTTGAGTACATGTTCCAACGTACAACAATCTAAAAAAAAACATTAAGACAATTACATTTAAAATAAATGAACAATTATTTTATTTATTTTACTTTTTCTTAAAATCTTTCTGCCTTTCAGGATCTTTGCTCAAAAAATCTGGACATTGTTTTCCAAGTTTGTGAAAAGTATACAAAAGTGCTTCAACACGATGTAAATCCATATCTTCAACTTTTTTATTGGTATCATTCTCAGGAACAGTAACTAAATCCTAAAATTGGGTTTTTGTACTAAAAGCTACAAACTTATTACTAATAATTAGTTTTTAATTCACTTAGTAAAAACATTAGAAACTAGATAGATTTAAAAATGTTCTATATATAACTTTGTTTAAGAAATTAGAATCAGGTATTTAAAAACTTATTAACTGATTTTGTTTTTTTTTAAATTAAGACTACTCAATTAATGATCATTAAATCAAACTATTTGAAGTGTCAAGATTTGATTTTGAACATATAATTAAAATTGCATAGTATCATTTAAAAACATTAAATCTTAAAAAATTTAAACAAAAATTTTAATATTAATATTAATATTTTCAAAAAAGTTGATATTTTTGCAATAATTAATGTAGACACTTAAATAGGCCACCCTGTTCAATATTTTTAAATTTTAATAAAAATTCAAAATGATATATTATAGATATTTTAGGTTCTTGTATAAATATGACAATAATTAAGAAAACAATGTAAAGCTTTTAAAATAAAAAAACCTTAACTACTTACTAAAAGAGCGTGATAGACTTGTCCTACTACTGCTTCAGGATTCATCAGTTTACCACAAAATGGTACAGATTCTGCCAATGACTTTAAAATGATAAACTGTTTATCATTATCCTTTATAAGAGTATAGCGATTCAATAATTCACATATATACACAATAAACTTAGTGGATTCTACATGAGCCTGAAATAAAATTATAGTTATGGTTTTTCTATTATATTATATTTAATTCAACTAACATTTGAACTTTATAACAAATATTTACCGAAAAAAATGGAATTGAAAAATCCAGACAAGTTATGAATCGATTCACTTGATCTAAATCTTTAGGATTAAAAAATTGATCAAGTTCAGCTGTACTTGCCAAAAGCTCAACGAGTTCTCTTTGACCATCTGGTGTATTAATAAGATGAGTTGATGATAAGATAGTCATAAGTGTTTCAAATTCTTCACAAGTTATATTTTGCATAACTTTTTTACATTCTGCTATTATTAAATCTTCTACATCTCTTTTAATTATTTCTTTACCCAATGCCATTACTTTATTCAATATAAACTTCATAGAACGTTCCCTTACTATTTCTTCATTTGATTGCATTTGACTAAATATTCCAGTTAAAGCACCTTAATAAATTTAAAGACAAGTTACAACACATATTTCATAAATTATTCATACTGTATGAAAATATTTACCTTTAGCATCAATCTTAAAAAGCGATAATAATGAATTCTGGGCTACAAGTAATTCTTGTGGATCATCAGCCTGAAGTAACTGAGCCAATATATCTGCTATTTTAGTCAAGTATTCTTTAGCCTCTTTACATAATACTGGTAAATCTTTAATTGCTTGTTTTCGTATCTAAGTATATAATATATAGACATAAAATATTGATTATTTACTAAATATTGTATTGAATATATAGTAATATATACCTATATATTGATAGCCTGTTTACTTACACAAATATCTTCATCTTCACAAAGATCAAGCTGAGCTTCTAATGCTTGAGCAGCAAGGTTTGGAAAATGTTTAAAAAATCTAGTTATAAATTGAGATGCAAGTCTTTTTTCTTTTGTTGATCCTTTGACTGCTGATAATATTTCCAAATACTCAGGTTCTTTCTAAAAAAATATTTAAATGATTTATTCCTAATAGTACAAGTATGTAAGTAAATTGAAAATATTACAAAAAGTTGATGAACAGATTACTCATAATGTAAATATAAATAACTATATATTACTAAAAATGTTACTAATAACATTAAAATAAAAAGTCAAATTAAAATTAAAATTTCTTTTAAGTGAGCAAAACTTTAATAATGAGGACTTAAGAAATTATAATAAATAAGTAAGAATAATTTGTATTATCTTGAATTACAATGAAGTATCAAATCTATAATCTTTTATTTATAATGGGTATTCATACTTTCATAGCAGAGTTATGATATAGTGTTTCATTTAGTAATAAGAAGATAAAAGATAAAACGAAAATAAAAGAATAGCATTTTGAAAGTAAGATAATAAAGGTTAATTTTTGTAACACACAAAGAAACCTTATACTTATGTTTGACTGCTCTGTCAACCAGAACCAAAGAAGTAGGTGCTGGCATATAGTTGTGAGGTTGAAGGTACATTTTGAGTACCAAAGCATCAAAAATGTATGCTTGGTCACTTGGATACACATACTATATTTATTGATTTAAACCTACTGTATAGTACTGTAAGATACTGCATATTACTGCATTGTACAATCTAGGATAAATCAAAGTATAGACAAGAATAACAGGCAAAAAGAACTTAATTTGAATAGCTAATTTAAATTTGGAGTAAGTTTTATTAGGTATATTCAAGTGTTTTTCAAGTATGAATTGATATTTCAAAAAAATGTTGAAACAAAAAAACATATTAACCTCAATGTTAATGTTAACTACTTTACAAGAATTTAAATACCAATTTAAATAAAAGTAAACAATTATACTAAGACWCATAATGTTAGTTATCATACATAGCAAACTTTGAGTAATTTAATGAGAAAAAAAAATATTAGTTTAAGTTTTTCAACCTCAAATAATTAATCTCTAAGATCTTTTGAGGACAAATACGAACGCGAAAAACTTACATCGGCAATGTTTTCCTTTGCATCGGCTAGTATRCCAAAGTATTTGTACATTTTTTGGATATTGTCTTCGGCCTCCATTTTCCTGCTATGCAAGTGATTCTTGTCGACGAGCGGCAAACAGATGAAGCGGGAATTGTTATTGTTAATAAAAAAAAGTATTTGGAGTAGTGAATAGTGATAGTCGGCAGATACGAATTCTTAAAGATCTGATGTTTTTTTGCGCGACATATAAACAGGAAGCACTATGCTAGTATGCTATAACTATTGACTAATGCGGACTGCGGGTGAGCTTAAAAAATCAAAATTCGAAAGTTCAATATTTCTGATTCCAGAATGATAATCTGAGATTTCGTTTAGTTTTTTACGTAAATAATAATTATCAAAAAGGACGGCGTTCCGGTACGATTGGTATGTTGGTATGTGGTATGCGGTAGTCACAACGTGTTTAGGTTACAACCAGTGTTGTATACGAGCCAAATAAGAAATTATTAACTATTTAATACATTATAGCACAAAACGATAGCGTGGGCCGTGGGGTCCTATAATCTGTGGTCCTACAACAGAACTGGGAACTGGCTAGTGGCTAGTGGCTACTACTACTGAAAACATTATGAATTATGATATTATTTAGATCCATTATTCGTAATTAATAAGATAATAATAAATCATAATATATTAAAAGTTAATTCATCACAATAATTGTATCGACATACTTGGTCGTCTTTGTGGATCTAAAATTCCAAAATAATCGTCCTCATTATTAATTCTACAATAACTTGTTTTATACACAATGATTAAATAAGTAAAGTTGTGTTTTATGTGTTTGTTTCCAACACGATGTTGTTGTTGTGGCACCAATGTAATGATTAAACGCCGTTTTATCACCGTATGGTATTTTTCTGTGGTATGGACGTATGGTGGATGTTTAGTGTTTACACTATAAAGACATACAATACTGACATACGGTTGTTGTAGTTCATTTTTTCATACCAAGCTTGGAAGCTGAAAGTACCTTAAGAATAAAGATCCAATGTCCTAAAGGCAAGTTTTGAACCATCGATCTGCCCAATCTGGGAATCAAAATTCAGTAATCTAAACATTCCTCAGAACATTGTTGTCGCTTTTTCGAATTTTCGTGGTAAGTTTAAATTTAAGCATTGTTTAGTTACATCCCATAACTTGACTTTCATGTTTAATTTTGACAGGCGTTAAGGATAACGTATTTTTAAATTCAGTAATTAAATATAATATTTTTATTGGAATCGATTTGCTATAATTATTTTCTAATAAAAAGCAAATAAAAAAAAATATATATAATATGTCCACTCACAAGAGTGGTGAGGTATTAGCTGTAACTATTAGACCTAAGTCGTACACTTGAACCTATAGAATTTAAATTATAGACAAACTGCAAGGTGCACTCAATAATATGTATCAACTTAAAATTGACAGTATATTSTGTATAGCCTCACTTATTATTCTCTCAACATGGTGATATTGATATATTGATATTTTATAATATAAAATGTTAGTCAAAAGATCCTGTTAGATTATTATTATTAAATTACTACTTCAGAAATTCAGTACATAACAATAGATAGATGGTATACCCATGCAGTTCTAGCTTTTAACATTGAAAATCTTAGAAATTATTCTTATCAATATTTTTTACAATTTATTGACTTAGTAACTAATAAATGAAAATGGTTGTAAAGTATTAATCAAAATATACCTATTATGATAAAGATAAAATCATTATTTAAAATATGATATATTCTTATGAATGTATTAAAATTATATTGTTRATATGCAGAGATTTTGTAATTAAATTACAAAAATGGATTACCAAAATCGTCCTGGCGGTAAAACTGGCGGTGGTGGTGTTGCATCATGGACAGAGACTAATAAGGATAGACGTGAACGTCTTAGGCAATTGGCTTTGGAAACTATTGATCTACAAAAAGATCCTTATTTTATGAAAAATCATTTAGGTAATTATTATAATTGCTCTCTAAGTAAATAAAAAATATTAATATTTAATAATGTATACATGTTCACAGGATCCTATGAATGTAAACTTTGTTTGACTCTACATAATAACGAGGGAAGTTATTTGGCCCATACACAAGGTAAAAAGCATCAAGCAAATTTAGCACGACGAGCAGCTAAAGAAGCTAAAGATGCTCCACAACAACCAGCTCCTGAAAAACCAAGGGTAGAAACTAAAAAGTTTGTTAAGATTGGAAGACCTGGATATCGAGTTACAAAACAAAAGGACCCAGAAACAGGCCAACAAAGTTTACTTTTTCAAATTGATTATCCTGGTTTGTTATTTGTTTTATTTGTTATATTAGTTTTTAATTTAAATACATGGTCTTTTAACTTATATTGTATTATGCATGTTTAGAAATTACCGATAATGTACGACCACGTCATCGTTTTATGTCTGCATATGAGCAAAGAATTGAGCCACCAGACAGGAAATGGCAATATTTGTTGTTTGCTGCAGAACCTTATGAAACAATTTCTTTTAAAGTACCAAGTCGTGAAGTGGATAAATCTGAAATGAAATTTTGGGCTCATTGGAATACCCAAGCAAAACAATTTTATTTACAATTTGCATACAAAGTTGAGCAAATGAAACCACCACCTCCGATGAAACCTCCTCCACCATCTTTACCGCCCCCWCCACAACACAACATGATGCATCAACCTGGTTCGAATATGATGTCTCATATGTTTCCTCCTCCGCCTATGTATAATCCTGGACCACCTCAAATGATGAATAATATGATACCTCCACCGCCTCAATTGATGGGTTAATAACCTTATAGAAGTAAAAAATCATACTGTAATAATTTTAAATATTTTTTTTAGTCTAAAGACTAAATATTTTTCTTTACTACAGAACTGTTAATACCTTAATAAAATTAAATTTTAAATTTTGTTTTATTCAATTTTTAAGGTTCAATAAAAGTTAATTGCGGTTTGAGTATATTAAATAAAGTGATGCATAACTTTTTCACCATGCACCTGCTATCATTATTAGAACGTAGTAGTGTACCAATATTCTGATTATTCTAACATACTACTAATTAATTGTTTAATATTCCCATATAGCTATAAACAGCAATATGCCAATATGTCAAAGTTGTTTGTTATTTTCAGACATAAATCTTTTTTTTTATTTAGACTATATATGTAAAATATGTTACATTATAGTCATTATTACTTATGCCATAAATATAGACAAATAAACTTTAAAAGTGAAATAACCATAAGGTAATTTTTGAAAAACGTGCAGAATATAATTGAATTTGGAACCAGAAGAATTCAATAATTGATGTCTACCATCTATTAATTTTGAAAAAATATACCATTAGGTACTGTATTATTAAATTTAATAATAATTACTTACAATGAMTAATTATTCTTTAAAAATAATAAATGATTATTAATCAGGAGTTTTTGTTTCAATTCATTTTCTATATTTATGTAAAAACAGGGGATGGGCAAATTACTCTAGAAAAAGTAATTCATTAAAAATTATATAATTTAATTACTTACTACTACATCAGTCATTTTTGATTTTATAAATTATACATTAAAAAATATTAAAAGAATATATTATGGTATAAGATGTTATAGTCATAAMAAAATGGAATATAAATTATATGACAAAAATTGATTTTCTTTTTGGTAAATAAGTTATTTTAGTTATTATAGTTTTATTCAATCTGTTTCAAATATAAAAGAACAAATGATAGTAAAGCTAAAAAAAAATGACAGATTAGACAGACTGCAGAAGCCTCTCAGCTGAGGTACTACGACATAGTAACAAAATTTGTTAGGCTAGCAGGTCACAACACCACTGTCTTAGTTATTTTAATCTGGTTGCCTGGGATAGAAGCAGATGAAAGTTTAGATATTAGAGGATTCTTTTGATGTGCTAGGTCCTAGGTAGCTATTAAAACTTTGTTGTAGGTTTTTGCTATTACAGAGACAAAAGACATTTTCAGATCAGAGTGAAGGGTGTTGTTAGAGACATAATTGGATCCCATWAGTCCAGATGGGCCTGAGAAAAAGTTTGTTGAGTAGGAGCTTATTGGAGAGCTTCATATGCTTGGATAGTTGGATGTTAGAAGTTCGATTTTCTAAACTTTAATAAAGGTTCCACCAAAAATTGGTTATATTTAATATTATATTTTATTTATTTATTTAATATGGTTAATATTTTTTTGAGGACATTCACTGATTCACTAGTGTTCATTAAAGTATAGTATATAACATAATATTATATAGTTCATTATACTATATAACCTATATTATGTGACTAAGCGAGACGTTAATCAGTGACGGATGACAATGAGAATATGAGATAGATACTCAAGTCAGTACATAGACATGTAATCTACAATTTGCTGATTTATACATAGAAAATGAACAATTAAGATCTACAGCATCTGTCAAAATCTCTGTATTATATGTAGTACAATGTTCAAAATAAAAGTCTTTCAGTATCGCTACTCTCGGTTCAACAGTGCCGAATGTTCAATAAAACTTATGCTATAGTGTACAGTAAACGACATTAAACACATTTTAGTTCCTACTTAACCATTAAATTTATCAGTAGGTAAGAACATAAACTATAAATTGTACATTTAAATTTTAAATTGATACAAAAAAATTAATTTTGGGTAATTGTTAATTACTAATTACACAAATATTATGTAATTAATTATCAATTATAAAATACATCGACATTTTGTAATCAATTATTAACTACAAATTACTTAAATAATTGAATTACTGTAATTGAAAAGTGCCCACTTTGTAGTAATAGTAGGTAAAAAATATTAAATATAATGTAGAAGTTTAATGAAATTTGAAATGCAAAAAAGTTAACTAAGTAATCTCTGTCAGATGTACATTTAGTGTGGAGTGTTACTTGTCAACTTGTCATAGAGTAATGACTAATGAGTGTTATGTAGATCTCAGAAGACTCTCATCACTAATGGAAAATATGTTAAATTAGAATTCAATGATAAATCTGAAATTATAGCATCCAAAAAACGATTTTGWTGAAGCCGATGTTATAAAGGCGTATAGTTTATGACATATTATATTACATTACCTGGCGTTGCCCAGGGATATTATAGTTTATCCGAAATGTGCAATCCTCCTACGGCGGATAGTGAGTGGATAATGATAAGTGAATGTTACGTKAAAGAACTGCAAGCAGAAATAAATAAATATACTTATGTATTAAATATTTTTAATATTACCTACCTAGGCAAGCCACCCAAAAATAACTGGTTCAATCTTCATCTTATAACCCCTTCCTTGAATCGTAAAAATCAGTCTTGTCTTTTGATCTATACCTACCTAAGCCTCGTCAACACACTAATAAATTGCCTTTTATATATGCTTGTATTTGACTTTCAAACATACATAAATGGGCAAATGGCTATATTTAACTTTAGAGAATATATTTTAACCACGCAGGCTTCTATTSTAACACATTTCAGATCAGCACACCTACGGGCTACGATTTATAGTAATATCTGTATTAGCAGGTTATCTATATAATCGATCTATAAGATTAGTAGGTATACTATACTAGATAAACCTAGATTAACCTCCTAGATAGTCGATAATAGGTAGGTACTTGAATTAATAATCTTTTTTTGGCAACTGCAGGAATACCTAATACCTATAGTAACATAACAATGTTAGTTTTGTATAAGTAAGGAATTAATATATTTTTATAATTTTTTGTTACAATTAGGTAATTAATACTAATTATCACATAAATATCACGACTATTCAACACCTAGGTAATTGCATTAATCATTTCAGTTTTGTGGAATAATAATTCATTATCGATTGATAGATACATGGGATTTTTTTATTTCTCATCCTTTATTATCGAAATAAACGGGCGTATGTAATTTGCGCCACATCTAAAACTGTATTTTGGTAATTTGCGCCACTTTTTAAATTTGTAATTTGCGCCAAATAAAATTAAATAAAAAGGAATTATGTAATCTGTGCCCTAGAGTACCTAATAAAATTGTAATTTGCGCTTTTTTCCACCTTATTAAAATAGTAATTTGCGCCACTTATATTATAGGTAATAATATAAATAACTCCATGTATATTAAATATGTAAATTATCGTTAAGTAATAAAACATATTATAAAAATCAGTCATATTAAACTCGTAATTATAAATAAATATATATAAAAAATCAAACTCCATGCATATTAAACATCTTAATTGTCGTTAATTAATAAAAATCAGTCATAATTATAAATAATTCGACGATATTGAGACGATATGTGACACGCGTCGGACGCATCAGAACGTATTATTGTATATTATCCTATGCGATATCGCTAAATTTATCTGCTGGTAAATTCCAACTGCTATTAAAGTTGAAAGTGTGGCACATATTACATATTCCATTTTGTTTTCTTTAGTGGCGCAAAATACATGTTATATTTTTATATTTTGGCGCAAATTACAAGTAATAAAAGTGACGCAAAATACCATCTCCCAAATAAACGATTACATATTAAACACCTTTACCTATGTTTCTCTCTAAGCTAAAATACCAAATAATTAAGATTTTATCATAAATATTTTAAATTTTATAGAAGTATAATATAATATAATATCTAATTATATTTAATATAATAATAGGTAATCATAAACTTATGTGTTTTGTATCAGTAAAAAATGTCCCACCTTTTTCAAGTAGGTATAGTCATCAAAATGTAGTCATTTTGGTAAACGATCACTTTGTACGGTCCATTGTTTAAACTAAATAACACGGACACTTTGTGTGATCAGGTAAAACTTTAGATTGCAAAACGCGGACAGTTTGTACTGTTATATACATAAAATATGCATAATATATGCTTAAAAAATCATCCTGTATAGTTATACATAAGTGTTAAATATCTATAATGTAAAAATTAAATATAAAAAAAAGTCAATTTATCAAAAACTTTATAAAATATAGTATATTACTATTAGTCAGAATAATAAAATTATAAAATGTGTATGCTTAAGTAGTAAGGTACTTACTGGTTCTATACGATTTGTAGACATTTTGAAATTGAAATGCAGTTCAACGTTAAGTACAAAC